ATAAGATCAACAACCATGACCCACCATTCAAATTTGTTTTGGGTTTTTTTTTCAGTTTGTTCCTGTTGCTGTATTTTGTTGTATTTTGTAGTATTTTGGACCGCGAGTTGCTTATGGAATATAATGCTTAATTTAAATCAACCAGGGTTTGGAGCATTTGAGTTTAGGCAGTCCACAACATGCCAGAGTGTGTTATTGAATAAGTCTAAAGGGCACAGGCAGGAGTGGTTGTGGTTGAGTCATATTTTTTTGTGGGTCACATCCTGTGGATCTACCAGTGGCCTTCCTTAAGGCAAAGATAAAGAGAAAGAGATAGAAAGAAAAAGAGTCTGTGACAAATGCAATCTCACCCAAACCTCTGTTTCCTGTGCTGTAGCCACTCTCTCGCTCTCCTTTGTTCTTCTGATGTGGCCTCTCTTTCGGCCCAGGATGAGCACTAATGCACAGAATGCAATCTCACCCAAACCTCTGTTTCCTGTGCTGTAGCCACTCTCTCGCTCTCCTTTGTTCCTCTGATGTGGCCTCTCTTTCGGCCCAGGATGAGCACTAATGCACAAAATGTGTGGTGACAGGTCAAAGAAGGTCTTAGGCCAGCCTAACCCTCACTAATCTCTGTTTCACACAGTCAAAAGACATCCTGCTCAGTTAATGGCCTCATAAATGAGTCTTTTTTTTTTTTTTGTAGAACAGTGGAATTTGTGTGGTATCAGTGATGTCTGCTCAGTTAGCTGTTGTGGAGCTAGCTGTTGTGGAGCTGACATTAAAGAGGTGCAAAATTGCATATTTTTAAAGTCTTCTAGTCAGTGGGTTGCCTGAAAGAGTAGTTCGATAACCTGACTTAAGGAAATCCTGTATAATAAGGTTGGTTGCAGTTTAACTGACCACAATTAGAAGTGTTTTTTTTAAGAGGGCTTTTACACAAGAGGAACAGATTTGATCAGAATGCAGGGTCTTGAAAGACGCTTGAACTATTTTACTTAAATGTAGCATTTTTTAGGAGTGCAAAACTAAAAAATAAAAGTAAGAAAACAATGTCAAACTAGTTTATTGAATGGCAAGTCCGTTTTAAATATTTTTATTTTATTTTATTATTTAATTTTTGGGAAAAATTGTTGAAATTGTCACTGTGCCAGAAAATAACACTTTTTCTCATCAAAAACAAAATGTGGATGCTGACGATGCATGGTGATTACTGGCTATGTATTTATTTATTTATTAATAAATTTTAAAAAATGTAAAAAAAAAAAATAATAATAATTTTTATGTTTAGCCACATAAAACTTTTTTAAAAAGTGTTTACAATTTAATTTTATATCTGGGAGAAATTATAATTAATTTGTGCCACTGTTGTTGAAATAAGTTCTTTTTCCCATTAAAAAATGTCCTAATTGAAAATGTATGGTGTTTAGGTGCAAGTTTAGTTCAATTTTTTTTATTTTTTTGCTAAATAGAAAAGCTATACTAATTTGACATTAACATATAAGTCATTCATGCCTCTGGTTATATATAAAAAGTTGCATGATGCCCCTGGGTTGACCACCATGACCCATCCTCAGTTGAGAGAAGGGATGTTATACTGCACACAGGAAACCAAATGCCTGTATTGGTGACCATGTGCTTTTAGGAGGAGTGTCCAGAGCTGTGGAGAGATTTCCCAGGCATGTTAACAGATAGGAAAGAGAGATAGAGGGGAGGGACAGTGGGGAAAGGGAGGAGGGACAGGACGAGTAGGAGGGGAAGTTTGGGTTGGAAGGGAGCAGCTCTCACAGCGTGACTGACTTGAGACTTTGAGGAGAGACTTTGGTTTGTTGTTTCTGGGCTATGAGATTTAGTAAAGGACAGCTTCAGTGGAGAATCTCTCATGGTATAGTAAGCTTGACTGCTTTGTGTTTTACAGTCTCATTTGAAGACTTTGTCAACTGTGTTTTGTTTTTGATGTTTGTCGGTTTCCTGCCTGCATGCAAGCCTCTGTGGTCATAGAAAGTCTGCAAACGGAATTACCAACGGCAGATATCTGCTAACGCTATATTTGAACACATCAGGCTCATGTCAGACTCACAAGCTTGTGAGGAAATTCCTCGTTTGCCATTTGTTTGAGATACTTATCAAGTTGAAATTCCACTGAAGAGTTTTGTTGAGGGCGGCTTGGTGATTTTTATCTGTTTATTTCATTTGTAAGCACCCACTGTCACACTTTTTCTGTTTGATTGTAGTTTCATGTGAAGCTTTACTGACAGAGCCAGCAGTAACTGTAACTGATAAGGACTTATTTGTTTGGGGAGCTCACCTGGGTGATTTTAATTCTGTGCGTGTTTGTTTGTTTGGATGGAAGCTAGCGTAATGCTGCGTCTTGCGTTTTGCTTTTATGTTTAGAGCATCGCTCCCTGTTACGCCAGCTCATGAACTCAGGTAGAAGACATGTTCAGACATCACCTCGGTATCCGTATGTGTCATTTCACCTGCTCTCTGCCCCAGCTTGTCTGTTTTAACACAGTAATTCACGTACTTATTAACTTGGACGTATATATGTCGTATAGAGCAACCAAGAGGTGCATTTTGCACTCTCATTATGCATTATGTTGTGTTTTCTGAATGACAGAAGAGAGAATAAACATAAATAATATTTCCAGTAGATAAATAATTAGGCTATTCATGTTACTGTATGTTTGTGTAGAGATTATGCTTGTTGGTTTGATTTAGACTCGGCTTAAGTTGATTTTAGTTTTGTGTTCTTTCAGCTGTAGGCTAAATGAGTGGATGATGTTGTCCACTCTAAAAAAAAATGCTGGGTTAAATACAACTCAGCGCTGGGTAAAATATGGACAAACCCAGCGATTGGGTTGTTTTCAACCGACACTTGGGTTAGATGTTTAACCCAACCTTCTGGGCAGTAACCCAACCGCTGGGTCAAAACCACCCAATAGCTGGGTTTGTCCATATTTTACCCAGTGCTGGGTTGTATTTTTTAGACTATAGTATTTGTTGAGAAGAGATCTGTGCTCTTAATTCAGATCTCTGGCTCTTGTTCATAAAGGAAGTCTCCATGAGGATGCTGGGAGATTTCCATTCCTCTGAGTGTCATGCTTGTCATTTAAAAGGCCGTTTAACTTGTTTATGATGTGCTGTATTACACCCACCCACCTCATACAAACACAATTACGTGTGTAAATGGGGATATACCTTCATCTTCTTTTTTTCTTTTTTTTTCTTTTAAATATTTTAATTAAATATTTTTTTTAATATTTTTTTTATTACAGACTAAATACATTTTAAATATATTAAAATATATTTGGGTCATTCCGTGTCAAATCAACCAAATTTCAAAAACGTCCTCAGCTCACATTTTTGATTTTGCTAATATTTTTTTCTGAATGCCAATGGTGACAGTTCAAAAATAAAAGGGAAAAAAAGGCACTTTTCTGCACTTTTTCCCCCACAATGCTTGCATTGCCGTAACTCCAGAAGTATTAAAGATCTCTATGTATCCTTTTAGATTTTGGTTTTTAACTTTTCTTTTGGTGTCTTTATTTTAAAGGCAATGTAATCTTCATTTCCAGAGACATTGGGATCACTTTGCATACAGCGGATACTTTTTTCTTTTAAAGTGAAACAGCTGTATATTTATATGAATATTTGTATAGTCCAGTGTTATTTTTTAGTATTGTTTATAAACTATTATAATATTTATTAATATTTTGATTTTTATATAGTAGCTTCTATTTTTATATTTTTAGTTTTATTTTAGTTTCAGTAATTTTAGATGCTTTTGCCATCTTTATTGCTTTTATATTTCTGCTAAGCTTTAATTTATTTCTATTTTTGTTTGTAAATTTGTTAAACTTATTTAGTTAAGTTTTTCAAGTTTTTTTTTAAATGAAACATTTTCATCTAATATTTCTATTTTATTTTATTTCAACTTTTTTGTATTACTATACTTTTTTAAAATTAATTGTAGTTATCAATAGCAACACTGATGTATTATATATTACAACCTTTAGTTTTGGTTCTATCATTTGATTGATGACAGTGAATAGTGTGAAATGAAAGTGTGTGATTTTTGCATGGAGTAAAGAGTGTTGGAGATGAAAATTTGATCGGAAATTCAGAGTGTCCTCTCAATCCAGGGTCACTCAGGGAGGGTAACTTTGGGAAATGGAAAACCTTCCACAACGTTTAATTATCAGCTGTGTCCTTGAAGTGTATCTTATATACAGTAGCTTTGTGTGAAACACACACACACATATATCCCTGCTATCAGTAAACACAGCAGTGGTAGTAAGAGTCCCCTGGACCAGACACACAAGCATTGCTGTTCACCTCATTTGTCCATTTTGTTAATTACCAACGTTTGACTCCACAATCTCAAACCGCTGTACGTTGATGTGTGCTATATAATCAAAACCTTGTATTGATGAATCTTATTCACCCCATTTTGTCTGTCGATAGACTTTTTGTACCTCCCTTGATCCTTTAGACCAAAGGGCCTCATCTATTCATTTACCATGGAGACTACACTGACCACAACTACAACTGTTGCTGGGCAGCTTCTCAGTCATGCATTTGAGTAAGAGTGTGTGTGTGTGTGTGTGTGTGTGTGTGTTTTGGGTGAGAATTGAAATATGGCAGGGAGACGCCAAAGAGTGCAGGAATGTTGTAGGGTGGAGGAATGGAACAGAGACAGGCGGATAGAGAAAGAAAACTGGTATCTGGACACTGGCTCAGTCTGGTGCCACGAGATGCCAGCAGTCTTAGTGGCGGCGGGGGGATTCCAGGGGGCTTTATCACCTAATCTTTCTCTAATTAGTACAGTATATAGACTCCATTCTGTCTGTTTACAGCCACAGAAATACCATAGACTGATCAAATACTGGCCAAATAAGATAATACTGAGTCATTGAGTCAGTGCTATCAGTTTAGATGTATGATGATGAATAATGCGCAATTAATCACCAGTGTCCCTTTCTGCCTATGCCATGATTAATGCTTCTTCTGTCTTCCAGGCAGTCCCTGTGAAGCTGTCTCTGGATGCTCTGCTGCAAATGTCCAGTGTGCAGGTGGAAGACACCATGAAAAGACTGGGCTCTAGCAGTGAGGAGTGTTCCCGCATCACCGCTGCCCTCTCCTGTCTCAAGAGCGCTACTGACACAGGTGACTGCTGACTCCTTGCTCCTTACACTCTTCAAAAACACTAGGACTTCCTGCTCTAGGCTCAGATTCTAGCTGTTGGCCATTTTAGTATTTTAGAATAAAGTATACGATAATGTAAGTAAAAAAAAAAAAAAGTAGACAAATTAGTAAAAAAAAAAAAAACTTTTATTCAGCAAGGATGCATTTTATAATGACTTTTATTATTTTACAAAATATTTTTTATTTCAAATAAATACTCTTCTTTTGTGCTTTCTATCCAGAGAATCCTGAAGTGTCAATGTTTCCACAAAAATAATTAGAGGTAAAACTGTTTTCAATATAAGTCTTAAAAAAATAAAAATAAAATCTTTCTTGAGCACCACATCAGAATATTATAATGATTTCTGACGGATCATGTGACACCAGAGACTGACATAAAGCTGAAAATTCAACTTTGGCATTACATGAATAAATTACATTTTAATATGTAGTAAAATGCATGATGATAAGATACTTATGAATTGATATTTGACAATACCATATATGGCGGCACACAAAGTTTTCCAGACCATCGCCAATGGCAGCTAGATTTTAAATTATTATCGCAAAAGTTTAATTTTGATCACATTTGTGAACAACGGTTGTTATGGTTGTTATAAAAGTTAAAATACTATTCATTCATTTAATTTAATATAATAAAACATAAACTAAAATAAAAATAAATATTGCCTTGGCAACTAACTAAGTTGAAGTACTAAAATTCTAAAACTAAAACTTAAATAAAAGTTAATTAAAACTAAATAGAAATATAGAAAATGAATAGAAATTACATGCACAAAATTACCATAACTTAAATTAAAACTAAAAATATAAAAATGAAGCTCATTCAAAATAGTATTAAATACTATAAAATGATATAAATAACACTAAAATTACACTGGTAAGCAATCACTTTAATTAAGGTCTGGAGCCCTGCATTGATCATCCACCTTCTTCTGAATTGTCTCTCACTCTTTCTGTTTTAGGTGCAGCACTTAAGAAAGAGGGCATCCCGTGGATAGCAGAACCCGCTCACCGTGACAGTACCTCTGTTGACCCGCTGTCTTGTTCTATGCGTGCACATCAGTCTTACAGTCCCAGCCCAACCAGCTGGCCCCCTCCTTCTGCTTTGCCTGCCCCTCGTTCCTGTGTCTCTGTTTCTGCTCTACCCTCAACGGACTTCCCTACAATCGTCCACCCTCACTGTGATGGGCTGACGGACCCTTTTTCATCCTCCCCGCAGCTGAACCGCTGCACCCCCGGGCTGCTGTCCACCCCTCCAGTCACACCGCCACCGAGAAGGTATGGCAAACTAAAGCCCCCACGAACTCCACCACCTCCATCCCGTAAGCTGCTAAACCTCCTGCCAAACATCACCCTCACACACAGCAAGAGCCAGAGCCAACTGGCCAACCGGATCGATGACCCTACACCCAAGAAGTAAGTTCAGCACTGAATAATATTTTATTTATGGATATATTACTTCATGGCATGATGATCTCTTCTCAGAGTTTGCTTCAAAAATGTTTATTTTGACAGCTGAATGATGTCAAATGTCAAGTATGACGGTATTGATTTATGTGAGTCTGCTGCTGGGCTTTATGGTGTCTTTAAAAGGGACTGTCTAGATTGAAGCAAGTTTTGCTATTTTACCATTGCAAATATTTGACTGCAAACTAGATATGCATTTCAGAAATTGCTGAAGGAAGCACTGGTTTTGTGTAAATGATATGCCATATCAGACCTGCTTTTGTTTTTGTAATAACAAAAAAGTGTCCAGTCGTAAATCCGCTACAAACAGAAATTCACACAAAGTTATTCTGTGGCTATAAATAGATGCAAAGAAAACTGACCAATCACAATTCAGCATGCGGATACACTACTGTTCAAAAGTTTTGCTCCTGTAAAATGTTTTTTTTTTTTTTTTTAAATCTCTTATGTTCACCAAGACTGCATTTATTTTATCAAAAATATAATAAAGCAGTAATATTGTGAAATATTATTGCAATTTAAGATAACTGTTTCCCATTTTAATATATTTAAAAATGTAACTTATTCCTGTGATGCAAAGTTGAATTTTCAGCAGCTATTACTCCAGTCTTCAGTGTCACATGATCCTTCAGAAATCATTCTAATAAGCTGATTTGCTGCTCAAGTAACATTTCTGATTCTTTTCAATGTTGAAAAACATTTTTACTGTATAATATTTTTGTGGAAACTGTGATAAATTTCTATTCAGCATTCTTTGATCAAAAGAATGCCATTTATTTAAAACTAGAAATCTTTTGTAACATTAGAAATGTCCTTACTGTCATCAAGTGAGTGCATCCTTGCTGAATATAAGTATTAATTAAAAAAATAAATAAATAAAGTACTGACACCAAACTTTCAAAAGGTAGTGTATATGCAAGAAAGAAAACCAATTTCAATTCAGTATATAAATATAATGAAGCTGTCATCGCTATCTGTAACCAAAATACATCTGTTTGACCATTAGCCTGTGTTATGTATTGTTTTTTTTCCTCCCTGATGCAACCTAATACTATAAACATGATGTCAGATTCTCAGAAACACTTACCACATGATAAAGTCATGCAGTAATGCAGTGATGATGGGAATGGAATATATTCATCTGAAGGGTGTAGATAAAATCTGAAGAATAAGCGAGGCCTCTTCAAACCATAAGAATTAGTGCCAGCGTTAACAGCAACATACAGAATTGAAACTGCACAGAAATATACTGTATGCTGACATTTCATTTTAAACTTGACTAAGAATTTTGACTAAGACTCTTTTACACTCATAATCACAATTTCATGGTTTGAAATGAATATTCTGTCATCGTATTTAGTAGGGCTGCAACTAACGATTATTTTGATAATCGATTAGTTGGCCGATCTTTAATTTGACGCGACCGGCTGAAGTTGGACAAGTATGTAAACTCCATTGGACGTGCACTGTGGGCAGACCCGATTAATCGATAATGAGAATCGTTGTCGATGATTTTCATAATCGATGATAATCGATTTTATCGATTAGTTGTTGCAGCCCTAGTATTTAGTATTAATATTAGTCACCCTCATGTTGCCTCAAACCTGACTTTGATTCCTCAATGCTGGTTGGATTTTTTCATAGTTACAATGAATTGCACCTGAGATTTCAAATTTCAAAAATTATGCAAAAGTACCATTAGATATCGTAAATGGTATCCATATGATTTATGCATTTTATTCCAAGTCTTCAAAATCCATATGACATATTTGTGTGAGGAACAAACTGAGATTTATAATCTTCCTTTTCCACTGTGACTTAATGAATCTATCAGAGATTTTTTTTAAATGAGTGCTGTCAAACGATTAATCACGATTAATCGCATCCAAAATAAGTTTTTATTTACATAATATATGTGTGTGCTGTGTATACTTATTATGTATATATAAATACAAACACATGCATGTGTATATATATATATATAAGAAAAATATGTTGTTTATATATTAGATATATTTATATAGCCTATAATATAAAATACAAGAATATAAATATATAAATGTATATGCATTTAAAAATTTCCAAAATATATACTGTATATGTGTGTATTTATATATACAAAATAAATATACACAGTACACATACATATATTATGTAAACAAAAACTTTTATTTTTGATGCGATTAATCGTTTGACAGCACTAAAAAAAGTATAAATTACAGTTTCCACAAAGCTATCGAATCATTTAAGATTTTTTTTTAATATATCAATAAAGTCATATGGAACACTTTTGATACTTTCATGGTGTTTTTTTTTTTTTGCGTTTTGGGATTTTGACAGCCCCATTCCTCATTCAGTTTAATTATACTAAGAAAATTGGACAGGATATAAAAAAAAAAAAAAAAATTGACCATTTGTGTTCCACAGAAGAAATTGCACAACATTTGCTACTCGTAACAACATGTTGCCTAACTCAGCAAAAATTTGGAACGAATTGTAGCCCTGCAGCATAAATAAAGAAATCCTTCTTAGAAAAAATGTTCTACATATTCTTTTAGCTCCCACTGTTCATATGTGTACCATACTGTGTTGACCTGCCCAGTGTGTGTTCGGTCTGTGGGAGTGGACTGCTGTGACATCTGAGATCACTGATGGCCCAGTTCCAGGCAGGTTTTAGAGAGCAGTTCAACACTCCCGTCCTTCCGCCCCTTCACGTAGCCCCAGTGTTTCCCGTTAGCACAAGGCCGAGGTCAGACCCCTTCTCAGACTCACTGGCGTCCAGTGCTTGATCATTCCCGCTCCTCTGAGCCAATAAACGTCCGCAGGATTGGACCTCCTCCTCATAATATGTGTGTGAACTGAAGTCCACCGCAAAAACTCCCTGCCTGTGAAGCTGCACGCCTGCATTTGCACCACATTTTTTAAATATTTGTGGTGGACAAGCTGCAGATGTGTGTTTATTTAAACTACTATAGAAAGATTTCTCGCTGGGAGGTGCAGAGCGAGTCATTATGAGAGCTTTCTGGGAATTATAATTGGCTGCATTGTAATAATTCCAATGAATGGTTGCAGGTGATGAGTCTTAATGATTTTAGGTTACATTGTAAAATGCTTTTTGTTTTACACAAGTTCATATTAAATAGTTCTGCAGTGTAAAAATGATTGTTTTATGTTCAAATGTTCCATTCATGTAGTATCTTGGGTAATATGAGGTCATAAAAGCTGAATGCCAAAGTAATTTTTAATAATTAAATTAAATTAATGAATTGTTATTATAATGATAACTATTTATTGTTCTAATTATTTATTTTAATTATTCATTATTTTATCATTTAATTTACAAAAACACCAAAATGCTATTTAAATGGAGTATAGCATATCACACTAATGTCAGCTACCAAGATCATATGTTGACTTGTGCCCTTTTGCCTGCAGGAGCGGGAAGAAAAACAAGCCGCTTCTGAACGTGCAGGTAAATGGTGGAGGAAACGGCTGGGAAGACTCGCCCTCACGGTCACCACTGTTGTCTGTCCGTTCCCCCTGCATCCTACCAAACACCCCCAGTCACCTGGGAGATCCCACGGGTGTAAGAAGTAAGTGCTTTTTAGTAAACGTCAAGTTTGTGTGTTCCAAAACTTAGTGAGCTCCCTACCTAGATCATCATACTGTAGGTGCACTTCAGATGAGGCTACAGTTAGACATCTGCATTATGTTTGCTCATGAAATATGTTGATTTGGCTAAAGCCAGCTTTACACATACTGTTCATTCCCAGAATGCACTGCAGTGAACAATTCATCCAGTCAACTCTAAAGCTTAGAGATGCTAACACTAAACTAAATTTTAATCCATTTTGAGTACAATCTGTCTTTCTTTCACATCATATAGATAATGTTGCATCCCACGGAAGCTCTCCGCTAATCATGAGGAAGGATATTGGTCTGGATGTCACACACAGGTACTGACCATTGAACTTTTGCTTGTTTTCATTCTTACATCCGTGTTTGTCTTTCAACTTCCAACACAACTGACACTGGCTTTCTTATTGTGCCTCCTTAAAGGTTTTCCACCAAGTCCTGGTTGTCTCAGACGTGTCAGGTGTGCAAGAAGAACATGATGTTTGGTGTTAAATGCAAACATTGCAAGTAAGCAAACACAGGATTGTTTTTAGGAAAACCACATCTGATTTCCCAGTATCTTCCTGCTAACGTTTGCTTCCATCTCTTTTAGGGTGAAGTGCCACAATAAATGTACCAAAGAGGCCCCTAAGTGCAGGATTTCATTTGCACAATGTAAGATTTTTTTTTGTACAAGATGTAGTATACTGTATATTCAGACAGCTTTGCAGATGATCTAAAGTTCTTTTTTTTTTCAGTTCCAAACAAGATTAGAAGAACAGAGTCAGTACCGTCAGATATCAATAACCAGGTTGATCGACCGGCAGAGTCTCAGCAGTACGGAACATTACCGAAAGCAGTAAACAAAAAGGCATGTAGCAAACCACACAAACAAGGAAGTTGAGAGTCACACCATACTAGCTTTTTTTTAGATTATAATAATAATAGTAATAGTAAATAATTCTTTTGGGATAGTAGTAGTAATAGTAGTAGTAGTAGTAGTAGTAGTATAAATGATAATAATTTAGGAAAATTATTTTTTTCATTTATTTTGCAATTTCATTTGGTGATGCTAGTGATTGCCAATGAAGTATGTAATTATTATTTTAAAATACTGTAAGATTTTTATGTTACATAGTAGTAAGGAAAATTATTAGTATTATTAAGATTATATAAAGTAAATAAATAATAAATCATATCATATAAATAAAATAATTAAAAAATAAATTGTGAGTACCCATAGGATTTATTGAAACGCTATTTTATAATATGGCATACTTGTTTCAAACATCCATTTTTATATCCTATATTTTTATTTTATTTTAAAAATACATTATTTTTATATCTTTATATTTATTTTTACAATTTCATTTTATGATGCTAGTGACTACCTATAAGATTTGTCATTGAAATGCTATTTTATAAAATGTCTTAAAGTGCCCCTATTATGCCTTTTCGAATATTACCTTTCATGCAGTGTGTCATGTAGCTGTATGTGAAAATAAACTATCTGCAAAGTTGTGAAGCCGACAGTGCACGATAAATAAAGTTATTGTCTATCAAAAAAAAGAGTCGGCTCGCAATCGCCTAAACGAGTCGTCAGGAATTCAAATCTTATTCTGTTACGGCTCTACGTCACGAAGTAACACATTTGCATAATGTCCGCCCACGTTCTACGTCGCCAACTTGCCCGCCCACAAACACAGTAAAATTTCTGTGTGGTTAACATCATGTCGAAAAGACTCTGTATCCTACGCTGTGAGAGTAGATTTGTTTTATCACATCTTATAATTTCCACAAACTTGTTAACACTTGACACTTACCACTGAGAAACGTCCTGCTCCAGTCGTGCTTGTGAATCAGTCTCTTGTAGATCAGCCAGTTCAACCATTTCGTCATCAGACTCCGGCTCGAATTGGTAAGGTACAATCGATACCATTTTTCTATGTATTGACAAGTCTCCAGGGCTGTCATTCTGTCATGGCAATGGGCGTTTCGTTTCCGTCACGCGCTGTACGCGGTAGACCAATCCAGAGCCAATCTCTCTTTACGGCTCTGGACCAATCACAAAGGACTGCGCCATCTGACCAATCACAGCAGTGAGGGCTCACGGAAAGGAGGGGTTTAGAGAGACTGATTCTTTGAACTTCTTCACATGAGTCGTTTACGAATCATTTAGAAATGAGGTAAAATTAAATCTATTTTTTGAGAAAACTAACGTGTTTTTTGACCTTGCATGCATATAAACCTGTTTTAGAAGACTCATAAAACAATATTAGCAACCTTAAAAATGGCATAATAGGGGCAATTTAATTGATTCAAACATCCATGTTTGCACCTTATTTGGTTGTTTTTTGGAAAATATTTTTTAAGATATGTGTCCTCCCTTCAGGACCACCCTCCATCACTGAGTCACCTGGACTCCAGTAGTAACCCTTCCTCCACCACCTCCTCCACTCCCTCCTCCCCTGCCCCCTTCGGTCAGAGCAACCCCCCAAACGCCACCCCACCACCCAACCCCTCCCCTAAGGGTCACGTTGACAGTCGATTTCACTTCCCAGGTTAGTCTTGTTTACACCAATACCACAGGATCTTATTTGCCGCCCGCATGTAAACCCATTTAAACCTCTGCACTACAGAATGTCACTCTTTTTGTAGCACAGCATTATTAAGCACTCCTTTCTTGTTTCCAATGCTCAGAAATAACCTCTTCAATAAATGCACACTAACCTACTAATATCTGCTTAAGTAACTCTCGCTGACGCATAACAAGCTAGTTGTTTAACCGGGTCTTTCTCTTTTCCTTGTGGACATTTGTCTATTTGTCCCCTCAATAGCTGCCTACTACTTTCAGCATAGACAACAGTTTGTCTTCCCTGGTGAGTTAACAATCCTCCACACCACAAAACTCTGTTATTTAATCTTAAGGTGTGGTGTCTGAGTTCCTAGTTGAGTTATCACTGACGTTTTGAGACAACTCAACTCTGTTTCCCGATCCTGAGAGTAGAGGTCTGCGTGGGACTGTTTTTTTTAGTGCCGCTCCCGCAAGGTTCTATTCCGCTCCCGCTATATATTCACTCTTTGTTCACCCGCTGTCCGCTTACAATAATTTTCTTCCCGACCCGACCGTTCCCGCTAAATTTTAGATCTTGTTTCCAGAATCTCACATTTATATTTCCGCTACTGAAACAAAGAGAGATAGGCTGACAAATAAAAGTGTATTCTGCACAAAATTGTATGTTATTTTATTCGTCTTGTCAAGAGTCTTGAATTTATTGACTTTGACTTGAATTTATATGAATTATCTTAAGACACAAAATTAGTTTAATATTTTATGCAACACAGTAGGAAAAACAGTGTCAGAGAAAATAAAAATGTACAAAAATTTTATTTTTGTACAACATTACAAAAAAATTATTTTATTCGTCTTGTCAGGATACAATTCGTTTAACATTGACAACACAATAGGGAAAAGGTGTCGCAGAGAGAGAGAGAACAAATGTAGGTTGTACAAAAATAGCCCATTAGCTATTGAAATCGCATCATATGACCCCTTTAATCATTTTAATCTTATTAGTTGTTCTTTTTGCTTTTGTGCAACACATAAATAACAATATATATGTTTTAGACACTTTATGTTTAGATCATTTCGATTTTGCGGGAGTCCCGTGAATCATTTTATTCTCCCGCATCCCGCACACACACGAGTCTCTTTCCGCCCACACCCGCACTCGCCCATCAAGAGTTGCTGCACCCTGTTGCGTTGGGTCCCGCGGTACTCCCGCGGGAGTGCAGGTCTCTACTTTCAATTCTCTGTGTGCTTCTTGTGCCGTGTATAGAGAACCTAAAAGATATGTTGTTCAGTTGTTTAGTTGTATTATATTAAAGGTGCACCAAGTTATTAGCATGCATCACTATTAATATTGCTCAAATCCCTAAACTTTGGCATATACACTGTTCAAAAATCTGAGTAAAAAAAAAATTATATATATATATATATATATATTCAAAGACATTTATAAATTATGTTACCAAAAATTCTATATTATATATAAATGGTGTTTTTGGACTTTCAATTCATCATGGAATCCTAAAAAAAAAATATATTACTAAAATATATATATAAAAAAATATATTAAATATATACTTTCAACTTCAAAACTTTAAGTGGAGTAGAATTACTTGGCGCACATTTACATGGAATCTGAACGTTTAATGTCACGTATGACTCAAGAATCCCTTTTTTCTCGCAGACGTATCCAGTTCCACGCATTCAGATGGAGGTTGCAACACCGGGTAAAACAAAACTTTTCGATTGCTGTTTCTGCAGTATTTCTAGAAATATTTTGACCCCAGGCAATTGAAATGCAAGTTTCATTGGTTTTGGTTCTTCATGGAACATTATAATTACTCTGCATGTTTCTTAAAGGGTTAGTTCAGCCAAAAATGAAAATTAGGCTGCGTTTTACTCACCCCCGATGCATCCTAGGTGTATATGACTTTCTTCTTTCAGACGAAAGCTGAACAGCACACATTTTTGGTTATTGCCTCATCTTGAATGAATCAGTTGCACTAAGTTCCCATGGAACCATTGTGGCAGCACTGACTTCTGTAGAATTTTTCCTGCAAGTTCAAACTCATGATGAATGCTTCAAAGATGCTCTGAAGGGATAGTTCACACAAATACTTTACATTATTTATTCACCTTTATGTTAATCCCAACCTGTTTGTTTGATTTTATTCAGTGGAACACAAAAGAGGATGTCTTTGACAAAAAAGCACTGTAAAAGTAGCTCAAAGCCATTTGATACCTTTATTTATATATATATATATATATATATATATATACATACATGCATACATACATACAGGTGCATCTCAAAATATTAGAATATCAAAAAGTTCTTTTTTTTGTAACATTACAAAAAGTGAAACTTTGCTATTTTCTTGATTCATACATGTAAAGTAAAACATTTCAAAAGTTTTTTGTTTTAATTTTGATGATTAGATCTTACAGCTCATGAAAGTCAAAAATCCAGTATCTCAAAATATTAGAATAATATTTTAAAAAGTTTCCTTTTAAAAAGTTAATTAAAACAGCATTTATTCAAAATATAAATCTTTTCTAACAATATAAATCTTTGCTATTACTTATCAATTTAACACATCCTTGCTGAATAAAAGTTTAAATTTCTTTCAAAAAAAGAAAGAATAAAAATGTACTGACCCCAAACATTTGAACGGTAGTCTATATTGTTAGAAAAGATTTCTATTTTAAATAAATGCTCTTCTTTTTAACTTTTTATTCATCAAAGAATCCTGAAAAAAAGTATCACAGGTTCCAAAGAAATATTAAGCAGCACAACAGTTTCCAGCACTGATAATAAATCAGCATATTAGAATGATTTCTTAATTACATGATGTGTCGATTAATTAATCTAATTAATCGCAAATTACAATTGTCTGTGAAAATACCCCCAAAAGATTATTTAATGCTATTTTTGTGTTAAATGAGAAAGTATTAAGTACACATTATAAATAGTAGCTTTAGAAAGAAATATTTTAGATTCAACATAAAATTTGTTGCACTTAAACGTTTAGGCTACCACGGCCTAACATAAACTATGGAATATAAAAGAAGATCATTTGAGAAACAGCTCAGTTTTTTTTCGTTCATGCAGTGGAAGTCATTGGTAACCGAAACAGCTTTGTAACCAACAGTCTTCAAAATACCTTCTTTTATGTTACACAAAAGAAAGTAGGCTAAGTCATTCAGGTTTGAGTAAATGATGACATAATTAACATTTTTTGGGTGAACTATTCCTTTAAAGTTTTCCCCCCCATTTTCCCACCCTTTTTTAATGAAATTATACCCTAAATAAGAAACTAAAACTGCCAGCAGGTGGCGGTAAATGTCTTTATGAATCTTTCATTCGATTTGTTCAAACGGCTGATTCATTCAGGAATTCAGTAAACGGCTCACTTCATGAATTGGCCTTTGAATCATTGGTTCACACGATTCGTTCAAAACGCGGATTCATTCAGAAACTAAACACTGCTGTGTTGCTCACAGATGCACAATTCTGCTGTGGCTTTATAGGTAATATTCTTTGTAGGCTAAACTGCACAAACAGTTGTGTTTAAAATACAACACAATATTAACTTATTATTTATTGAACTGTTGTGTAAAATCACATTTGCACTCAAACAGCAGGTCTGGGGGGCGGGGCCTGTGCGTTAACTGCGTTAAAATATTTTAATCGCGTTATTTTTCATAACTAATTCATTAAGTTAACCCGTTAAACTGACAGCCCTAATATATATATATATACTAAATATATAATACTATATATACTAAATATATAATACTAAAATAACACTACCTCAAATATCATTTAATTCAAACATGGACTGTCAAGTTGTTCTTTGTGAATGACAAGACAAATGACATTTGAAATCAAACCGTGATACGTTCTGCGGTATTTCCTTTATTTGTGATCTATATTAAAACTCACATGGCTTCAGAATAGCATAATGCTGAGTAAATGACAGAATTTCGATTTTTGGGTGAACTATCCTTAGGTAAATGGTCTAGATCATACTGTATATCATACATAGTTCTGATAACTATTTAAAAGTGATTAGTAAATGACCACTAAGTTTAGTATGTCCTCTCTTTCATGCAGAGAAACAGATCAGTTGGATGGTAATGTCAACCAGTTGTCAACAGGCCAAAGGGAAGCTGTGGTGAGTGCTGCAAGAAACATGTTCCCCCACAGAGCTACTAGGAACTGAAAGTATTTGTGGGCAACGTTTCCAGTTTATCGTGGTGGTCACATGATTTTGTGTGGTCAGTGGTGTTAGGTAGTGACCCTGACCACTAAAAGACAATACTGAAGCTTTTTTACTTATATCTAAATTTTGAATTGTGCAAAATCAAAACTGATTTAGGATTATGTGAATATGAAATATACATTTAGCCCTAGAATTGAATAATTTGGTTATTATTCTTCTCATTCAGGATGAGGAGCAGCAAGGGAACGACGGTCAGGATCAGGAAGGTTCGGACGATGAAAGTGAAGGCGATGAAGTGGATGACCTGCCCAACTGCAGGGGCTACTGGAAAGACCACATAAGCCGTAAAGCCAGCCAGACCAGCGTTTACCTGCAGGAGTGGGATGTGCCTTTCGAGCAGCTGGAGCTCGGAGAGCTGATCGGTAAAGGCCGCTGGGGGAAGGTGTGCAGGGGCCGCTGGCATGGAGAGGTGGCCGTTCGCTTGTTAGAGATTGATGGTAACAACCAGGAGCACCTAAAGCTGTTCAAGAAGGAGGTGATGAACTACCGGCAAACGCGACACGAGAACGTCGTGCTGTTTATGGGGGCCTGCATGAACCCGCCTCATCTGGCCATTATCACCAGGTTCGCCTCTCTCAGCTCTCTCAATGTTGTGTCATTCATGTAAAGAAATTAATATTTTTATTCAGCAAGGATGCATTTAATTCATCAAAAGTGACAGTGAAGACATTTATAATGTTACAAAAGATTTCTGTTTTAAATAAATGCTGTTCTTTCTATTCACCATCCTGAATAAAATGTATCATTGTTTCCACAAAAATATTAAGCAGCACAGCTGGTAATAATCATAAATGTTTCCTGAGCACTAAATAAGCATTTTAGACTGATTTCTGAAGGATTATGTAACACTGAAGACCGCTGAAAATTCAGCTTTCTCATTACAGAAATGAATTGCATTTTAAAGTATATTAAAATCGAAAAGTTTAATATTTCACAATATTACTGTTTTTACTGTATTTTTTATCAAATAAATGCAGCCTTGGTGAGCATTAGAGACATTTAGACATTAGAGACATTGAAAAACTTACTCCGAACCTTTGAATGGTAGTGTGTATGTTTTGAATGTGTAGTATGTGATAATATATAGGAGCATTTGCGTTTGATTGTAATGTATTTATGTTCCTGTATTTATGTATTATGGTCCTGCTGCAGCTTTTGTAAAGGACGGACGCTCTACTCGGTTGTCAGGGATTCTAAACTTGACATCAACAAGATAAGACAAATCGCTCAGGAAATTGTGAAGGTAGGAAGCATCACATATAATACATGTTCTTGGCTTTATTTTGAATGATTTATCAATGCATGTTATTATCCAAAAAATGTCTTTGTAGTCTTTCATCAAAATTTAATAACTGTAAAGCAGCAAAACAATCTGACCATTATATCATCAATTTTGCTTCTTTAACTCAAATCACATTAACAACGGTTTTGTTTTGTTTTGTTTTGTTTCGTGTCTTTTACCTTTTACAGGGAATGGGTTACCTCCATGCAAAGGGAATTGTGCACAAAGATTTAAAATCTAAGAATGTTTTTTACGATTCAAACAAAGTGGTCATCACCGATTTCGGTCTGTTTGGGATGTCTGGAGTGGTCCAGGAGGACAGGTAGGGTGTATGTCATTTACTCCAGTGGTATAAAATTAAAATAGTCTTTTTATACAGTATGCTTTAAGAACTTCATTATCGTATGTGTTTGTTTATAGGCGGGAAAATGAACTGAAGCTTCCACGAGGGTGGATCTATTACCTGGCTCCAGAGGTCGTGCAAAAGATGGGACCAGGAAACCAAGACTGTTTGCCCTTTTCAAAAGCTGCTGATGTTTATGCATTTGGGTAAAAACCACATCTCTTTTCCCACATCTGCATCACATATACAGGGCCTCTAATGCAAACATTTGGTTTTGGTGTTAAAGTTTCATTTCTGCTTTAAAGGGGTCATATGATGCTATTTTAAAGATCATTATTTTGTGTATTTGGTGTAACAGAATATGTTGACATGCTTTAATGTTCAAAAAACACATTATTTTTCAAATACTGTACATTATTGTAGGTCCTATCTGATTGGTCCTTCATTGTAAAGGCTTGATCAAAATCAAGTTACAATATTTTGCAAACCAACACTGAAGTTGATCAGTTGACTTTAAATGTTTCTGTCTCAGCACTATCTGGTATGAACTCCAGGCTAAAGAATGGCCTATCGTTAACCAACCGACTGAAGTTTTGATCTATCAGCTGGGAAGTGGAGAAGGCATCAGAACGTTACTGACCCAGAAGGGTACAAGCTTGGGCAAGGAGGTTACGGTAAGTCCAGCCCTGGTATATATATATATATATATATATATATATATATATATATACACACACACACAAAATAATATTAACATGATCATTGTATTCACACTGCAGGAGATCTTGTCAGCCTGCTGGTCCTTTAAGGTTGCGGACAGACCCACATTCACTCAGCTGTCAGACTTACTAGAGAAGTTGCCGAAGCTCAATCGCAGACTCTCACACCCCGGGCACTTCTGGAAGTCTGAGGAGTATGTATCCTAGTCTGGAAAGCTAGCATGCTGTGGATCCCCCTTTTTTTGGGGTGTAGTTTAGGGAGCATGAAAACTAACTGATCGTTTGGAGCCGACCTGTGTATTGTTTTTTGTCTCTATTCTGAGCCTACTTAATTTTACACCATTGGATTTTTAGTGTAACGAGAGTCAGAAGGATGCTGTGCATGGATTCAACCATTATATATTTGGTCAAACCATCGGAGACCCGCACATGGCATGCAGGAAAAAAATAGTAGGCTAAATCGTGTGCACGATTTACTAATTTGTTCCCTCGATTTATAAATTGTGCGCACGATTTACTAATTTGTTCCCTCGATTTATAAATTGTGCGCACGATTTACTAATTTGTTCCCTCGATTTATAAATCCAGAAGGGTACAAGCTTGGGCAAGGAGGTTACGGTAAGTCCAGCCCTGGTATATATATATATATATATATATATATATATATACACACACACACAAAATAATATTAACATGATCATTGTATTCACACTGCAGGAGATCTTGTCAGCCTGCTGGTCCTTTAAGGTTGCGGACAGACCCACATTCACTCAGCTGTCAGACTTACTAGAGAAGTTGCCGAAGCTCAATCGCAGACTCTCACACCCCGGGCACTTCTGGAAGTCTGAGGAGTATGTATCCTAGTCTGGAAAGCTAGCATGCTGTGGATCCCCCTTTTTTTGGGGTGTAGTTTAGGGAGCATGAAAACTAACTGATCGTTTGGAGCCGACCTGTGTATTGTTTTTTGTCTCTATTCTGAGCCTACTTAATTTTACACCATTGGATTTTTAGTGTAACGAGAGTCAGAAGGATGCTGTGCATGGATTCAACCATTATATATTTGGTCAAACCATCGGAGACCCGCACATGGCATGCAGGAAAAAAATAGTAGGCTAAATCGTGTGCACGATTTACTAATTTGTTCCCTCGATTTATAAATTGTGCGCACGATTTACTAATTTGTTCCCTCGATTTATAAATTGTGCGCACGATTTACTAATTTGTTCCCTCGATTTATAAATTGTGCGCACGATTTACTAATTCGTTCCCTCGATTTGCTAAATCGTGCACACGATTTATAAATCGAGAGAACGAATTAGTAAATTATGCGCACGATTTAGCAAATCGAGGGAACGAATTAGTAAATCGTGCGCACAATTTATAAATCGAGGGAACGAATTAGCAAATTGAGGGAACGAAATGATAATCGTGTGCACGTTTTAGTACGTCGAGGGAACAAATTAGTAAATCGTGCGCACGATTTATTTATTTTTTCTTGCATGTCATGTGTGGGGCTCCGTACAAACCTGATATCATATGGTGCGGAAAATAACAATAAGTGACAGTAATGAAAAAGCGTTTTTCTGCTACCAAAGCTTTTGCCCGTCATATGAATGATTGGTCTGGTTTGCAGATGTGTGAAGATTTGTGTGATTTATCGTTTATTATTTACTATATAGAAGCAGATAATAGGAGTGGTTCAGAGGGAAGGTGCTTATTGATTTAACCTGTTACACTTTGAATATGTTTATATGCCCAAATATCTGGCCTGTGGTCAGTAATTCACCTTTTACGTTTAAAACGATGGTTAGACTGTGGTTAAAAGAGTGTAATCTGAATTTATAATAATTAAAATAATATTAATGACAATAATTATATAATATATGATTATATAATGTAATACATTATATAATATAAAATGATTTATTATTATTTATCAGCATAAGCAGTTGAAATCCCTGAAAAACCCTTTTGTAATTTTTTTTTATATTTGTGTATGTTGTCTCTGCTGTTTTTCTTGTGGGTTTCTCTCCACACTGGGAATGGGACAAACTTGTGACCCCCCTCTCTGTCATCTGCTGTTCCTGTCTCCATCTTGATGTCTCAACCTTTCTTCTTGCCACCAACCTCTTCCAAATCTTCATATTTCACATATCACTTTGTTTTCTCCTCTGTATTTTCCTTCCTTCTGTTCTCTGATTGGCTGAATGTTCAGTGCATGGCATCACCACTGTCTGCGTGAGCACTGCAGTCCAGGCCTCCGCTCTCGTTGTCCCTATGTCTACAAATACGAGGGTTTGTCCACAGCTGCTGTTAACATTAGCATGGCTACTGCATTCAAAGAAAACAACTGAGTAATTGAGTGTCTTACAAAATGTTTAAAAATGTTCACCTTTGTGATGCTTTTTCTTATAGTAGTCCCATCTTTGGCAACTGTTAGACTTTTAAACTTTTGCCTGTTCTAACACTGAGCAAAGCCATTTCAGCTAAACTTTGTAAATGGAAAATATGCTGATAGGCTTTCAGCAGATTTATTGCGCTAGCAGACTTTGCCACGTTTTGCCGTTTCAAATTCCTCATGTGCCGTCAGATGAATGGAATGTGATTTCCATTGCTCTTTTTATAGGACAGACCTTCAGCTTTTACAGTCCACAAACTTTCTCCTGTACTCTTTAAAAAAAAAAGTGACTTCCATATTCCATGTATTTGCTCAAAATTAAGATTTAAATGAATAATCATTTACCGGATGCTAATCTGACTTACTGAGCCCTTCCAGGATGGATAAAGAGCCTCAAAAATAAGGATCCTGATGAGGTATTTGTAATATCATAAAGAATGAAAAATATTTTGACCCAGCAGGATGATGTTCAGGAACTTTTAATATCTAATACCTCTTGTTTTAATTTGTGGGTGTGTGAGAGTGTGCATGCAGAGTTTTGAGTGGTTTATTTGTGGTGTTATGAACAATGAGAGGATGGTGAAGATGGCAGCGACTGTTCCCATGACAACTTAAAGGAATTTGAATAGAGAACTATTGTTTTATTTATTGTACAGCTAAGATTTCTTATATTATTTGTACATCGAAAAATTTTGAAAGGGTACTTTACTCCTGTTGTACAGCTCTTTATATACAAAGTGTGTCGAACACAAATTGTACATTTCTAGAATGAGTTTGTGGTTTTAATGTTATGTAATTATGAATTAATATTTTTGTAAAGCTTATAGCCACTTGTCTGTAAACACAATGTAATTTTATCCTGGCAGAAATAAACAAATGAAACATTTGAAATATTTTTTTCCATTTCATGAAAGAGAGTGAGACAGTGTTTTTGCAGTGTTGCAAAATAAATTATAGTCAGGGGCCAGTTGCATAAACTTAGCCACCATGCTAAGACTGTGTCTTAAGAACTAGTTTGACGAACTAGCAGATGCCAAGGGGTAATCAGTCTTACTTTTCCAATACAAATTAGACCAATCTACCTTTTCATAACTGAATTAAAAAAAGTTATGACCAGTCTTGAAGAAAAAAAATTAGATGACTTACTTTTTAAGACTAGTCTAAACAGTTTATGCAACCGGCCCCTGGTTTCACAGCCAGGGCTAAGCTTAAACCAGGTCTAGGCCTTAGTTAAATTAAGATATTTAAGCAGCTTTTTTTTTTTTTAAAAGCCTTGGGAAAAAAAAAACATTACAGCTGTGTATCTTGAGACAGAACAATGGCACTGACCTATTTTAAGATATGTCAGAGCGAGATATTTTTAGTTGAGACAGCTCAAACATGCATTTTACTCTGGGACTAGATTTAAGCCTTGTCTGTGAAACCAGGTGTATATAATCAACTGATCAATCTAATCTAGGCTACTTCGAATCTTACCTACAGTTATACATATTACATATATATATATATATACAATCTGTAAGATGTTTTTCATATTTGAAATCAGAAATTGCATTTTGTCTTTAATTTAGTATAGCCTATTTAGTACTTTAGTAATTTGACAGACATTTCCCACAAATTCACCCTTTTCAAAAACAAACATACCCTTAGTTGTTAATGTTGTGTAGTTTAACATACTTCCAGGAGTTTTATGTATCAGAAAGAAATGTTCCATTGAAAATCCAGTAAATCCTTTGTCTGTGTACTGAGGCTATAGTATTTGTAGCAGCCTATTATTTACATCTGTCTTCGGTTAAATTACAAAACTGTTTTTCTGTACAAAAAAAATCCACATATTGACTGCTCCTTTTACTGTACAGCTTTGAACATTTCCTCTGACACAGCATTATCTTATGGCTCTGGGTTGTACAAAAATGGTACAAAACAGCTGGTAATCTGGTTTGACAAAACGTTTCCTGAAAGTATGCCATAAAATTACTTTCCCCGGAAAATTGTAGGCTATAAAGTGTTAGTAAGTTAGTAAGAGCTAATAGCCTACAAATATTCCTAAAATAAATATTTAGCACTTGACCTTATCTGTTTTAACTCTCTCCCCCCAAAATGACCATCTTGTGTCTATTTTATGTAGCTAACGTATTGCTATTATTTATAGGCTATATAACATTCCTCCTCACAGAGCAGTTTGGGTTTGATCAGTGAATAAACGTTTACATTGATCAACATTAGGAAAAGCAAAACGTAGAAGCCCATGTACAGCCAATGGACATTGGCCAAGTTCCTAGCCTTATGGAGAAATCGAAACATGACGCGTTTTTAATCGGAAACCGGACATCTGTAGGTGGTTCTTAAATCTTTGCTGTTCTTCGAACTGCTCGCTTTCCTTTTGTTCTCTCTTGACTACACACTTAAAGGTGCAGGAACGTAAGAACTGATAGAATGGCTTTTTATCAGCAACAACCGTTTTACAACCCGGTAAGTGACTGTTTTTTTGTTTTTGTTTTTTGCAAAAATGATCATATGGCGTCATAATAAGCCATGGCCTATCAGTATATCTCCTTTATTTGCTATTTTCTTTGTCTTCCTCTTTTCTGCGTTAGCTACAACACTATTTAAAGTTATGTGGTTTTGCATGCACAATTAAAACTCCGTTATGCAACAAGTAGCCTAGGATGGGGTGTCTTTTTTTATTTTTTCCTCTCCTTGCTTTCTCATTTTTTTTAGCCTAAATGAACATTTTCACCGTTCAGTAAAACGGTTCAGTTCGTTAGTGTGCGCACGTTGAGGAAGCGGGGCATGTTGTCACACGGTGTGGTGGCGTAAATTTTCACATTGGGATTATGCCTTGAGTAATCGAAACGCTAAAATATTTATAAAACTACAAACGTCAAAAAAAAAAAAAATTACAAAATGTGACGTGCCCCGAGGTGATATTGAAGATTAAGTTTGGAGGACTTCACATAGGCTATTCTAATCTAATGACTAGGTGTTTGAAACCACACACATTTGTGTGCCCTTCTCTACTGGCATGTGAAAACTAGCTCTGCTCTCCATATGGCATCCATGCCCCAATTTCATATAT